TGGTGGTGGAGGAGGTGGTGGTTGATGGATGATGAGCAGGATCATGGTGGATGTGAGATCAGCGCACGCCGCAGTCGCGGCGGGCCAAAGGACCCGAAAGGCAAAGACCAGCTCAGAGGCCAGCTTGCGTGCAGGTGCCAAGGGCGTCGCGGAGGCCCTCGGGCCGGACGGCTTCCAGGAAGATCCCCGATTCAAGCAGCTTCCGAACCACGTGCTCCATCTCTCCACGATGGCCTCCTGGGCAGTGGCACGATGATCTCGAAGACCACGACAAACGGCTTCATCAGGAAACCCACCTCCAGGTGTACCACTCAGAGCACGACTAGCCTGTTGAAGACTGTGCCCACCGCCAGGTTTGGTAGGTAGAGCACTGTTGTAGACCATGCCCGTGACGAGCAGCTTCCTCAGGGGGAAGCGCACCTACAGGTGCATCGGGTAGACCACGATCATCCGGAAGACCATGCCCGTGACCAACGTATTCTTCAGGCAACGGCCCACCTCCAGGCCAAACGGGCAGAGCACGATCGTTCTCTTGCATACCGCGGAGAGCCCACCTCCAGGACGAACGGCTTCACGGTGGAGAAACGCACCTCCAGGTCGACACCAGGCACGGCAAGCCTGGCGCGACCAACGTCGCGAATACATTCATAATGGCAGTCAGCTTCCTCGGGCAGAAGCTCACCTTTGGAAATCAGGAAATGACCATCTTGAAGATGATCATCCTCACGAGGGAAAAGTCCACCTCGAGGCACAGCGAGTACAGCCCGACCATTTTCAAGAAGACTATGCTAGTGAGGGACAGGTTCAAGAGTCTTAAGCCCGTCTCCAGACCAACCTCCAGGCACTGCGTGTCCAGTACGATCATCATTGCCAGCGCGTGCTCATGACAAACAGCTTCATCGGGTAGAGGCTCCCACAGAGGCAAAGCGAACGTGAACGAAGCGCGATCATCATCACGGAGACTGCCCCTGACGACCACCTTCGTGAGGGAGAAGCCCACGGGGCCAAGCTCCGGGTGCAGCAAGTGCTGCCCGACCATCCTCACGCACCGTGTGTTCACGACGGGTTGCCTTATCTCACCACCCACCAAACCACCCCAACCCAACCCGAAGGCCTCAAATTGACCTCCATTTCCAGTGGGAGGGGGGTCGGGGAACATCGAGAAAACACATATGGAACCCGTACCCCCCCCAACCCGAAATTCGGGTCTTCGGGTTGGGTTGGGGTGGTCTGGCAGGTAGTCACTATCAGGCAGCCGCTCACACTCCAGGCGAGGGCAGAGCGACCAGCTCGCCAGCAAGAGGCCCACCTCTGGGCGCAGCGCGCAGACGTGGGCGATGCGGGCGCTCGCGGAGGCCCCTGGTGGGAGCCCTGGCGGCGACCCCCCTCTGCGGGGCGCGCCGCACTGGGCGAGGCGGGCGCGCGCGGGCGCCGGTTTTTCTGTTTCTTTTTCCTCTCCTCCTCCTCCTCCTCCTCCTCCTCCTCCTCCTCCTCCTCCTCCTCCTCCTCCTCCTCCTCCTCCTCCCCCTCCTCCCCCCGCCCCCCGTTCGAGACCCCCCCCTGGGGCACGGAGCGCGCGAGCGGCCCGCCGCACTGGGCGAGCGTGTGCGGACGCCCCCGCTCGTGCCCTGCTTGGGGCGGGGGGCGGGCGCATTTAGCACCGGGGCGCCCCATTGGGGGCTGCGCCTCAGGCATCACTGTGGCTCTGGGCTGGAGGCTTAGATCAGGCCCTAGCCTGAGGCCCAGAGTCTGGGGCCCAGCCAAGGCTCGCGCTAGGCCTACGCTAGTCTTCCTCTCCATGAGGGGGGGGTGGATGAGGAGAGTCCAGTCGAACTGCTTCCGACTTGTGCGTTTTCTTTTGCTTTTCATGCGAGGCCCAGGTCTCGCCGCGGTCGAAAGCTGAAATTTGACCGCGACCAGCTTGCTCGAATCGAATCCCCCCCCCCCGGGAGGCACGGGGCGCGGCAAGGGCGCCCCGAATTGGGCGCGGCGGGCGCACGCGGAGGCCCCCGCGCGGGAGCCCGCGACACGGGGCCCCCCGCGCGGCGCGCGCGCGCTCGCCAGGGCGAGGGCCGGCAGGGGCAGCGGGAGCGGCAGCGGCGGCAGCAGCAGCGGCGCCGGCGGACCGGGCGCTGGCTGGAGGCGCGGGGCAGTTGAGCGAGGTGCAGGACTGAGATGGGGCAGCAAGAGGGCGACTGTGCATCCCAGCCGGGGAGCAGCGGACCTGACCGCAAGCGGTGCCATAGCGGAGGCGGCAGGAGGGCGCGGATTGGCCGCCCGAGCCTGACGCCGCGGCCGCCCCTCCCAGGCAACGGGCCTGCACCGCTGGCGCGTGCAGCCGGACGCGGTGCTTCTCAGCGGAGCTGCCGCGCAGTTGCTGGCTGCTCGGCGCGGCGGGTCGGGCCGCGCGCGGCGGCGGGCACCGCCAGCGAGCGGGCGCCTGCTGGAGGCGCGGGGCAGCTGCATCGAGGTCGCCGTGTCCTGAGGAGAGGGCCCTCGAGGCTCAGCCCTGGCGCAGCACGGAGGACGCCCGGCGGAGCTCAAGCGGCGGCAGGAGGGGGAGAGGGGGGCGGGAGGAACCGTGTAACAGGGAAGAGACGCGGTGACAATGTCCACGATGTCGCGGGGCCTCGTTGACGCTGATTTCGGTCAGGGCCCATGTCGACCGGCGCCTGCTCGCGAGGAGGATACACGCATGGATGGTGAGCAAGGTGGACGGTGATCAAGATCGGCGCTGACGTTTCCGCGTTCAGTCTTCGTTCATGGTCACTTTTTTTCGTTCCCTCCAGATGAGCGGGTGTGGGCCCGCGCCGGGGAGAAAGCGAGGGCCCAGCTTCGCGGGTGGGTTTGGCAACGCGAGCAGGTCGACTTCTCAACCCGATCGGAAGCCGCTGCCGCGCGTGGGCGGTCCGCTGTTATCTGCTACCTTCCTGAGGGGTGTCGCCGGCTTGGTTGTTCATAATCCTTACACGATTCCTTCTGCAGTCAACCGTTTTTGGCCCGGAGCTTATCTTTCACTCGGTTACATCTTCTTTCTGTTCATATCCTTTCAGCTTCCTTTATTTCGTTCAAGTCCAACTCTTGACGGTTTGCTTACCACCGCCCATTCGAAAACGATCGCCAGACGAATTGCTCTAACCAGGGAGTTGTAGGCACATGCAGTGGAACAGACAGGTAAGGCAACCATCAAGCGGAAACTCGGGGTCAGCCCGGGGATATACAGGATTCCAAGTGTTCAGCCTGCCGCCAGAAAAAAAGAGAGGAGGCGGAGGATCAAGTTAAAACGGAGGGTGTGGAGGAGGGAGCAGGCCGTCGAGGTTCGCGTATAGTACAGCCTTTGCGTATTACGCGCAACTTTCGGATTTGTTTCGAGCCTTTTCTGGGGTGTTTACGAAGAAATCGAGTGGGTAAGCGTTGATCCTTGGAACGCGACGCATTGGTCATTTGAGTCCTCTTGGGTATCGACTGGGGGCCTTCGACGCCATCTTGAAGCCTTCATGGGTCCCTTTTGGGGCTCTTTCGGGCGATCGTGGAGCCATCATGGGGCCTCAGGGGCCCATCGGACGTGAAAAAATCAATAACGCGTTAGCTGTGGAAGCGGTTTGTTGAAGGATTTTGCCACTTGGGGCTATTTTTGGGAGGCGCCGTGGCCATTTGGAACCGTCCTGGAGCGATCTTCGGGCCTCTTGGAGGGATGTTAGGGATCATCTTGAGCCATCGTGGGCGATCTTGTGTCATTTTTCGGCTCACCTGCGACTAGATTGAATCCTCTTGGGGCCATATTGGGTCAAGGGACCCTCTGACACCTCATGGGGTAGAGGGACGGGCCACATTCCCAACGGGAAAGCCACACGTTATCGCGTTCACTCCCGTCAGCTCCCCCGCCATACTTCATCGGAGTAGACGTCGCCATCGGATGGGCATTCATTGGGAACCGTCAAAGGCGTCAGGTGTGTGTGTGTGTGTGTGAGAGTGTGATTGTGTGTGTGTGTGTGTCTGTGTTTGTGCGTTTGCGTGTGTGTGTGTGTGTCTGTGTGTGTGTGTGGGTGCGCGTGTGTGTGTGTGTGCGTGTGTGCGTACGCACGCTTGCGTGCTATATATATATATATATATATATTTATATATGTGTATAAATGTATGTATGTATGTATGTACGTATGTATGTATGTATGTATGCATGTATGTATGTGTGTGTATGTATGTATGTATGTATGTGTGCCTGTCTGTCTGTCTGTCTGTCTGTCTGTCTGTCTGTCTGTATGTATGTATGCATGCATGCATGCATGTATGTACGTATGTTTGTGTGTATATATGCGTGTCTGTATGTTTGTATGCATGCATGTATGTATGTGTGCATGCATGCATGCATGCATGTATGTGTATGTATGTATGTATGTATGTATGTATGTATGTATGCATGCATGTATGTATGTATGTATGTATGTATGTATGTATGTATGTATGTATGTATGTATGTGTGCGGATGTATGTATGTATGTATGTATGTATGTATGTATGTACACATACAATATACATATTATATATATATATATAATATATATATATGTATGCATGTATGTATGTATGTATGTATGTACGTATGTAACGTATGTACGTATGTACGTACGTACGTACGTACGTATGTATGCATGTATGTATGTATGTATGCATGTATGTATGTATGGATGTGTGTGTGTGTGTGTGTGTGTGTGTGTGTGTGTGTGTGTGTGTGTGTGTGTGTGTGTGCGTGAAGCTCGCGAGGTGCGCCACGCGTGCTGGGTGTGCTGCGGGGACTATGTGTGTGCCAGGTGCGGTCGGCCGAGTGGGGGGAGGGAGAATTCGTTAGTGGGGGGCATTGGGGGGGGCTGGCAAGCCCCTCCCCGAGTGTGAAGGAAGGGGTTTGTAATAGTAATCGCGCTAAGCTACCTATTCCCAGAGGGCGGGTGGGATTTCTCCGCCCCACCACTGGCGACCAGTCCGTGCTTCCGCGGCCCGCTCAGGCCGTGCACGACGCTGGAGAGAAGCTGAAAGGAGCGAGCCCCACGAGCACGGTCTCGACGGTACCTCCCCCGCCGCGAACCCGCTTGCGGCAGCATCTTGAAGTAAGAGTTCCGCATCGCCAAGTTCCGTCCGTCCCTCTCTGCTCTCCCATCGTTCCCGTTCCTGCCCCCGCTCCTCCCTTCGCACTTTGTCATGGCTCTTTTTGCGCTCACAGTCACGATATGCGCCGTCCCCTTTAGCGTCAAGAACCACGCGAGTTACATGCACTATAGGTTGTTGACCTCGTTGGGGGTGGGAAAGCCGGGACGTTGGCAGCGTGGGTTGGGTGAGAAGGGGCGTGTCAGCCTCGTTGAAGGGTGTTGTCGAGGGATGGACAGGAGGAAGAGGAGGAGGAGGAGGAGGAGGAGGAGGAGGAGGAGGAGGAGGAGGAGGAGGAGGAGGCGTTCTGGACTCTCCTAGATGGTGGGGTCTGTGCGTACATACTTCCGAGCGCCGTGTACGCATGGGCACTGGCAACGTGTTGTCTTTTCGGAAAAGGGGATTTCCCACCATTCCTTTGTCTCCGCTGCTTTCTCGGCTCCCATGGCGCCAAGCGCCCCGCCGCCTCGTCGCTCGGGGGATCGTGCCCGCCGCGGCGCGTCTCGTGGGCGGGCGGCGGCGCTGACGGGCCCTGGCAAGTCGTATGCAAGCGGCAGCCGCCGCGCGCTGCTGGCGCTGGAGGTGGCTCGCGCTTCACGCCAGCGGAGTGGCAACGGCAGAGCCCGCCGCAGGCCAACTACGCGGTCGTCCTACCCGGCCCCCGCAGGCCGTCCTGGGGCTGCAGGTGCGGCACAGACGGCAAGTGGGCGTGCAGGCTGGCGTGCCGCTCTTGTGGGCGGGCGGCCCCGCTGTCACTGCGCCAGCATGCATTCGAGATGGCGGCAGGCGCCAAGGCGAGCAGCCAGCCCCCAGCTGGCTGAGGTCGAGACAAAGTGGGTCGCCAGGCGCTGCCGCAGGGGGGCCAGTCCGCTGAGGCGCCTGCGGCGCAGAAACAGCAAGAGGCCACTTCTGCCCCTGGAGAGGCCAACGAGGAGGCGGTGGCGGACAAGGGCGTGGTCATCAGCGACGAAGATCGGGCCAAGCTGGCCCGGCCGAAGCAGCCTGCCAAGGAGGTCAAGCCCAAGACCTACTCGCAGGTGCTGCAGTCCTGCATTTGGAAGCTCGAGAAGCTGGACAAGCAGGCGGCGGCGAAGGAGGCAGCGCACAAGGAAGCGGTCGAGCACCTGGAGCAGGCGAAGGCGGCCGTGGAGGAGGCGGCTGCTGTCCTCGAGGCGGCTCGCCAGCGCCAGGCCGCGGGCCGCGAGGCTCTTGATCAGGCCAAGCGGATGGGGCAGGCTGGCCCGCCGCCAGGCTCCAATTCGGCCAGCCACGGCGATCGTTGGCCTGGAGGCCATCGGTGCCGTCGCCGCCGACGGGGCCCAGGCGGCCGGCCTCCAGGCCTCGGGCGCGGTCCTGCGGCGGAAGGTCGACGCCGTCAGGGCCGAAATCGCCGAGGCCGAGCGGGTGGCGGCGCACGTCGGGGGCGTGCCCATGGGCGAAGGGGCAGAGCCTACAGGGCCGCCTGCTGCGGGGCCACATGATGCAGGTTCTCTTCCTGCTGCTGCTCCAGGCGGCGAGCGGAGCGGCGACCCTTCGGGCTCCGAGGGCGCGGGCGACGACCGCGTGGAATTCTTCGCCTAAGTCGATCAGCTCGAGGGCGAGAACCGCCGCAAGCTCGAGGAGGCGCGTCAGGCCGCAGGGGCCGAGGCCCCGTTGCCCAGCGCGTCCGTGGGCGCGACGGCCGGGGCCAAGAGAGGGTTGGCCCAGGCCCGGCGTGATGTCGGAGCGTGGCGGTTGGGCGCCGCCAGCGCCGCGTCCCGCGGCAGCATGATGCGCTGGCGGCAGCAGGGGGCGACCGCCGATGTGGTCTTGTTGCAGGAGGTGGGCGTGGCCCCTGGCGCGGCGCCCGAAGCGGGGCAGGCCTGCCGCAGAGCAGGCTGGAAGGTGGCGTCCAGCGAGTCTGTGCGCGCCGAGAAGGGCGGCCTGTACAGCGATGTGGGCATCGGAGTGCGAGCGCGCATCGGGATGGGCAATGCGCTCAAGGGGCCCATGCTGCCACGGGGCCGAGCGATCGCGAAGTGGGTCAACTGCGGAGTGCCAGGTGGGTTCCTGGCGGTGTCGGTGTACGTGGTGGCTGCCAAAGGCCCCGACGCGGAGTCGAAGCTGGTCCTGGGGCAGCTGGGGGAGTACCTCGCCCGCGCCAAGGTGCCCCGCGTCATCGGCGGCGACTGGAACTGCGAGCCCCGCGAGCTGGAGGCCTGTGGCTGGCCGCAGGAGGCGAGGTCGACGGCGTGGCCGTGGCGCCATGGGCTCCCGCGCGCCGAGTCGGGCCAGGTTCGGAGATCGATTTCTTCGTAGTCTCGAGCGGCCTGGGCGGCAAGTTGCAGGGCTGCAGCAGGCAGGGCGCGGCGCTGGCGCCGCGCTGGCCCGCGCGGCCCCTGCTCTGCGAGGGGCGCCCCCGAGCGCGGGCTGGCCCGCTTGGCTGCGCGGGCGCTGCCTGCGCGGCGGCCGGCGGGGCCGCGCCCCTGGCCTCCTGCATGTGGGCCCTTCCTTCAGCGAGCGCGCGCGGCGTAGGCCGATCTGGGCGTCGCCGCGGGGCAGGGGGCCGCCGAGGCGGGCGCGGCGAATTCGGAGGCGGGGCGAGACCATCGACAGGGCCTCCACCGGCCAGCCAGCCGAGGCCCTTTGTGAAGAGATTCCTCCCGACGGTCAGGAACGTGGGCCCGGGGAAGGTGCTGGGACCCCTGGGGCCGCGCCCTGCAGAGATCATGTCGTCTGATGCCAGGCTCCTGCCTCGGGGTTGCCGAGGGGGCCCCGAAGATCGAAACCTTCGTGCGGTGGCCGTGCACAAGTCCCCGCCCCGCACCTCTAGACTCCAGGCCTTCCAAGTGGGGGGTCGAAGGCCTCGCGCGGCAACTTGAGATCCAGACCCCCCCTTGGATCGTGTAGCAAATCGCGACGGGAGTATCTCATGAGTTGCCACGTGCAGCCAGCGCTACGATTGGGGGGAGGCTATCGAGACAAACATCAGGGCCAGCCTCCGCGCGGCAGAATCTTCGTTCGACTTGCACATGCGTGGGGGTGAGATAGTGGCGTTTCCTGGGCAAACTCTTTAGGGCACCGATGAAGAAAAGCTGGCCCAGGCAGGTGGATGGTCCTCTCTGGATGATTTTCGCGATAGGTGCTATCATTGGAGATCGGCGGCGCGCCTGGAGGGGAAGTGAGAAGGGGAGGTTGCCAGGAGTTGCCACAGGTCGGAGAAGGGAAAGAACGCATAACACAACTTTTGGCGCTCCGAGCGGATTTCTTGGATCCGTGGCCGGGCCCCCCGGCGGCGCCTCCCGCGCCGCCCCTGGCGCGCTCCGCGCGCTAGGGAGGGGGGGGTCCTGCGCGAATCCAAGAAACCCGCGCGGAACGCCAACAGTTTATATTTTCACGTGGTGTTTCTCTTCTAGCACGAGCCTCTCTCCCAGTGGGGCTGTGCCCGAGGGGGTCCCCCTCCCCGTGGTGCAGCGAGGCCGCGGTTGCTCTCGCCTCGTCCCCCTGCGCTCCGTCCCCGGCTCCTCGCGCGGGTGCGGGCGCAGGACGTTGGCAACAGCAGCAGCAGCATCAGCAGCAGCAGCAGCAGCAGCAGCAGCCACGCAGTTCGGCATCACCCTAACATACTTATACTATATGTGCTTCGCCCCCCCGGAGGCGACGCGCGCACCGAGAAATCTTATAGTATATGCGTCGTGGGGGGGCGCTTTCTGGCCACACCGCTCGGGAAACGATATACTACAAGATGGGTATACTATATGTTCGGGTCGGACGCGCGCCTCCAAGGAGGACATATAGTACTAGTATGTCTTTGTGCTTCCCAGCAGTCGCCGACGGTAGGCGGCGAGCACAGTTGGCCTCGAGGTTTTCGGGCGTCTGTCGGGGCTCCAGAGATGGGGGTCGATGCAAGCGGGAGTCAGCCAGAGCCCCCGATCGTGCAGGATCTTGCAGGGCCAGGGTCGCATTGCCCAGGTTGACCCGGGTTTGGGTGCAGGACCTTGCAGGATCTTGCGGGATTCCGCAAAGCCTGAGTGACCTGGGTCTGGATTGACCCGGGTCAGAAGATCACCGAGTTTCTGTGGGTCCCAAGCGCGTTTCCTGCTCCTCGCCGAGAGGCGTTTGGGGATGCCCGGATCGTGCCGAACGGCCGCCGGGGACCCGAGTCGTGAAGACCAAATTCGGCGGCCAGCCCAGAAGGGGAAGTGAGAAGGGGCGGGTCTTACCAGAAGGCTTGGAAGTCCCTCGGCCTTCTGAGAAGTGTTCTGAGCCTTCCCCGAGGGCGAAGAAGTCTTTTCAGAAGGCGCGAGGGCTTCTGAGAAGTCCCGCCGCCTTCTGAGAAGGCCTTTTTCTCCGAGGCGGGAATTTATACATGACCACCGCCTGGAGGATCAATTTTCCGGGACCTCGCAGGCGGTGGATATGGATATATTCGAGCCCCTGGGGGCTGAAATATATCCACATCCACCGCCCGCAGGGGCACCAGGACGTCGGTTCCCAGGCGGTGGATATGGATAAATCTCCGCCTCGCACTTGTGAAGGCCTTCTTCTTCTCGCTTCCCCCCTCGCTCGCCGCCGATGCGTGATCCCTTAATTTCACATCTGGCCTCTCTCGCGTTGCAGGCTGCCAGGCCTGGACACGTCGCTTCCTTCTTCGTCGCGTCCTGGGCTTGTCTGCTCCCGTGGCAGGTTGAGTTTTTGTTCTCCCAGCCTGCCAGACCTGATCATTCCGCCATCTCGGTGCCCTCTGAACGCTAATCCACTGCGGCAGGCAGCCTCGTCCACGGCCGATGCGTTCCACAGAGTGGAGCACAAGGAGGGGAGGGACTGATTGTTCGAGCATCGAGCAGACGTGAGGTTTGTCGCCGTTGGATCGGGTAGCTGGTGGACGCAATGGTGTAGATTTATCCAGCACTGCGACCGTGCCAGCCCAGCACCTCGTGTGGCCACTGACAGCGCGCGACACCTCGTGTTCCGAGGCTTGGGAGGGCCGTAGCATGTGACATGCTGTTCAGAGTCGTGCTGGTGTTGAGAATGAATATGAAGAAGATGAATATTACGAACAGTATTCATAATCCGGTGAGCATTGACAATGCGCATATGAATGGTAACGCCTCGAAAGGACCAAGACCCCGTCCGGAAAATAGCCCCTGAGCCTTCGTTGGGATTAACCTAGCGTTTCCAAGTATCACCTTTTCTTCTTTCTGTTTTCGGCGATTTCGCTTGCAAAACAGCGCTTGCAAAACAGCTCGATTCATAGTACGAACAGTGAAAACAATCATAATAATCATGACAATGCGCATATGAAGATGCTTCCTCTTATGCAGCTGCTGCTGCTGCTTGCTGCTGCTTGCTGCTGCTGTTGCTGCTGGTGCTGGTGATGGCGATGATGATGATGATTGTGGTGGTGATGCTGATGATGATGCTGCTGCTGATGATGATAATGATGCTGATGCTGATGCTGATGCTGATGCTGCTGATGATGATGGTGACGGTGATGATGCTGCTGATGATGATGCTGATGATGATGCTGATGCATGTTGATGATGACGGTGATGATGCTGATGCTGATGATGGTGATAGTGATAGTGATGATGATGATGATGTTGAAGTTGATGCTGATGATGATGCTGATGCTGCTGATGATGATGGTACTGATGATGATGACGATGATGATGGTGATGCTGATTATCATGATGATGATGATGATGATGATGATGATGATGATGATGATGCTGATGTTGCTGGTGGTGATGATGCTGATGCTGGTGCTGATGATGATGCTGCTGTTGCTGATGGTGCTGATGCTGCTGATGATGATGCTGCTTGATGATGACGATGATGATGCTGCTGATGATGTTGATGATGCTGATGATGATGATGATGATGGTGATGCTGATGATGCTGATGCTGCTGCTGATGATGATGCTGATGCTGATGCTCTTGATGATGCTGATGATGACGACGACGATGATGATGATGATGCTGATGGTGCTGATGATGACGATGATGATGCTGATGCTGATGATGATGATGCTGATGATGAAGATGCTCATGATGATGACGATGATGACGATGCTGCTGATGATGATGATGCTGGTGCTGATGATGCTGATGATGATGATGATGATGATGATGATGGCGCTGATGATGATGATGATGATGCTGATGATGATGATGATGATGATGATGATTATGATGATGTTGATGATGATGATGATGCTGCTGATGATGATTATGATGATGATGATGATGGTGATGATGATGATGATGCTGATGCTGATGATGGTGCTGATGATGCTGATGATGCTGATGATGATGATGATGATGAGATCCATTGACGAGCTGATGATGAGATGATGATGATAATGAGCTGATGATGATGATGGTGTCCCGATGTTGTTGATGATGTTGACGATGACAACGATGGTGACCATGATGGTGTCCCGATGATGATGATGATGATGATGATGATGATGATGATGATGATGATGATGGTGATGATCATGATGATGATGATGATGATGATGATGATGATGATGATGATGATGTCGATGATTATGATGATGATGATGACGATGATGATGACGATGTTGATGATGATGATGATGCTGCTGATGATGATGATGCTGATGATGATGATGATGGCGCTGATGGATGATGAGGATGATGATGAGGATGATGATGCTGATGATGATGATTATGATGATGATGTTGATGATGATGATGATGATGCTGCTGATGATGATTATGATGATGATGATGATGATGATGCTGATGATGATGATGATGTTGATGCTGATGATGGTGCTAATGATGCTGATGATGCTGATGATGCTGATGATGCTGATGATGATGATGCTTGAAGATGATGCTGATGATGCTGATGATGTGCTGATGATGCTGCTGATGTGATGATGATGCTGATGGACGATGATGCTGATGATGATGCCGATGATGCCGATGATGATGATGGATGATGATGATGATGATGATCGATGTCATGATGATGATGATGATGATGATGATGATGATGCTGATGATGATGATGATGATGATGCGATGATGATGATGATGATGACGATGATGATGGACGATGATGCTGATGCTGATGATGCTGCTGCTGCTGGATGATGCTGATATGACGATGACGATGATGATGAGATGATGAGATGATGATCAGGCTGCCTTGCTGCTGATGACGAGGATGCTGTGATGATGATGATGATGATGATGATGATGATGATGATGATGATGATGATGATGATGATGATGGTGATGATGATGATGATGATGGTGATGATGGCGATGATGATGATGATGATGATGATGATGATGATGATGATGATGATGATGATGATGATGATGATGATGATGATGATGATGATGATGATGATGATGATGATGATGATGATGATGATGATGATGATGATGATGATGATGATGATGATGATGATGATGATGATGATGATGATGATGGCGATGGGGCTCCCCTCCCACCTCCTCCCCTGCTCAAGACTCCCGCTAGGTCTCTGGGGCAAGGGAAACGGACAGTCCGTTGGTCGGGACCCCTTACGAGGACGTCATTGCTGTATTAGTGAGAGGAGGAGGAGGAGGAGGAGGAGGAGGAGGAGGAGGAGGAGGAGGAGGTGGAGGAGGAGGAGGAGGCAGTGGAGGAGGAGGAGGAGGAGGAGGCAAGGAGGAGGAGGAGGAGGAGGAGGGGTGGAGGAGGAGGGGGAGGAGGAGGAGGCGGAGGAGGAGGGAGGAGGAGGAGGAGGAGGCGAGGAGGAGAGGCGGATGAGGAGGAGGAGGAGGAGGAGGAGAGGAGGAGGAGGAGGAGGCGGAGGAGGAGGAGGAGGAGGTAGGAGGAGGAGGGGAGGAGGCGAGGCGGAGCGAGAGCGGAGGCGGAGGCGGGGCGGAGGGGTGGGCGGAGGCGGAGCGGAGGAGGAGGAGGAGGAGGAGGAGGAGGGGAGGAGGAGGGAGGAGGAGGAGGAGGAGGAGGAGGAGGCAGGGGAGGAGGAGGAGGAGGAGGAGGAGGAGGTAGGAGGAGGAGGGAGGAGGAGGAGGAGGAGGAGGAGGAGGAGGGAGGGATGAGGAAGGAGGAGGAGGAGGTGGGAGGAGGGGAGGAGGGGAGGAGGAGGAGGAGGAGAGGGAGGAGGGGTGGAGTGAGAGGAGGAGGAGGGGAGGGAGGAGGAGGTGGAGGGAGGAGGAGGAGGAGGTGGGAGGAGAGGGAGGAGGAGGGGAGGAGGAGGAGGAGGAGGAGGAGGAGGTAGGAGGAGGAGGAGGAGGGAGGAGGGGAGGTGGAGGAGGAGGAGGAGGAGGGGAGGGAGGCTGGAGGCTGGAGGCGGTAGGGCGGAGGAAGAGGAGAGGAGGAGGAGGAGGAGGAGGGTGAGGAGGAGGAGGAGGAGGGAGGAGGAGGAGGAGGAGGAGGAGGGGAGCGGAGGAGGAGGAGGAGGAGGAGGAGGAGGAGGAGGAGGAGGAGGAGGAGGAGGGAGGAGGAGGAGAAGGAGGAGGAGGAGGAGGAGGAGGGGAGGGGGAGGAGGAGTGGGTGGAGGAGGAGGAGGAGGAGGAGGAGTAGGAGAGGAGGAGGAGGAGTAGGGATGAGTAGGGGAGGAGGAGGAGGAGGAGGACGAGGAGGAGGACGAGGAGGTGGAGGAGGAGGAGGAGCAGGAGGAGGAGCAGGATGAGGAGGAGGAGGAGGAGGAGGAGGACGAATGGGAGGGGAGGAGTGATGGGAGAGAGAGGAAAGGAGGGAAACACACATAATATATATATATATATATATATATATATAGATAGAGAGAGAGTGTGTGTGTGTGTGACAGACACGAGAGTGAGACGAGAGGGCAAGACTTCTGGCCCAGGCTGGCCTCAGACGCTTGCAAGGTTAGTGGGCCTTCCAGTCCAGCTGGCCGCAGCGTCAGCGTGGTGCTGCCTCTGGCCTTCTCTTGGTTCGTCCGCGGGAGTCCTTCCTCGCTCCCTGACCATCCCCTCCGAGCTGAGTGCCAAGGGGCATCAGAGCCCCCCCCCCACGAGCGATCGCTCCGCTTTCATGGCGCACTCGAGAAGCTTGACATGACCAGAGTGGCGCAGGCTGCCCAGCCCAGGCTCGTGCTCCTGATGCGCGCAGCCGTGGTAGCACCTCTTTGACGTCTCTCCCCCCAATTTCCTCTCCTCCTCCCTCACCGCTTTCCTCCCTCCCGAGCCCCGGGGTGGGCACAAGGTCCGCGCTTCTCCCCGGGCGGGGCGCGAACACAGATCACGCGATGCCTTCGTGCAGTGGAGACGCGCAGCAAGAAGCAAGTTGCTTCTCGCCAGGGTACCCTGGATTTCTTAGCTCCGCGCGCTGCGCGGTGACTTTCCGCGGCCGCTGGGGGGCCCTGGGTTCCCCCCCAGATGCAGCTCGCGCGTGGACTCTCAGGGTCAGGCTTCTTGCGAGGGCCTCTTGCCGCCGCGTCCGCACTGTACGATGCCCGGCAGCACATGCTGCTGTCCAAAAGCAACAGCTGCCGCTGTTGGGCGGGCGGCCTCCTGTCCCAGTTGCAATTGGACAACGTCCGCGGCGACACTGACAGCGAGCCCTGCTCAGAATGTACAGGAACTGCTGTCAGTCTTCGTCCCCTCCCTCCCTCCCTCCCTCCCTCCCTCCCTCCCTCCCTCCCTCCCTACTTGTTCTCGACCGTACCGTGGGACCTCGCGCGCTGGGGCGACTGCCGCGCAGCGGCCGTGGGGCCGCCCTCCCTCACGGGCCAATGGGCGTCCGGGGCGCAGCCCGCGCGCACGGCTCTTCGGCAGGACCTCTCCAGACCGCAGCGGCGGCAGCGGGGACTCGCGCACTCGGCTCCAACCAGAGCGGCGGCGGCAGCTCGGCGGCAGCCCAGGACGCGTAGGGCGACGAAGGCTGGAGGAGGAGCAGGTGCCCCTACCGCTGCCCTTGCCTCGCTTTCGCCACTGGGGACTTCCTGGGACGGAGGCCCTCGTCGCCACGGCTGGACTCGCCCTGAAGTTCTGGCCAGACCGCACCCTGGGGGAGGTCTGGGAAGTAGCGGTGTCGGTGTCTTTAGGTCGGGCATGTCCCCCTACAGGCGGGTTTTGAACGACACATTTACAATACTCCCAACAGATTCAAAAATAGGAAAAATCGTCCCCATGCTATGTCTTACTATTTTTGATTCTTCCTCCTGTGGAGGGACAGGCCCAACTCAACGATACCTTCTTCGTTTCCCGAGGCGGTCTCCCGGCCCGGCGGGTCAGCGGGTGGCCGGAGCACTTGGTGGACCCTAAACGTGGTGGTGAGAACACCCGGTGGTGAGTTTTGGGCGATTTGGGTAATGATTTTCGAGCGCTGGCTGGCCCCGGAAACGCAAAACCTCGTGGCGACCGCGTGTCCCCAAACCCGGTGGTGACCCAGAATTATTTCTTTGGGGAATCGGGGTCACCACCGGGTGTCTCACCACCTGGTTTGGAGACCACCAGAGCACGGGCAGGGGCCCCTATTGGGGCCCGCGGCGTGTTTGCAGGTGGCGCCCCGAGCGCGGCGAGCGCCGACGGAGCAAGATGCTGCGACCACCCGCGAGCCCTACCCTGGAGGGTTTCTCCGGAGGGCGTGGGCGACCCGCCCTCCTCCTCCCCCTCCTCCTCCTCCTCCACCTCCTCCTCCTCCTCCTCCTTCTCCTCCTCCCTCCTCCCTGCTCCTCCTCTCCTCCTCCTCCTCCTCCTCCTCCTCCTCCTCCTCCTCCTCCTCACCCTCCTCCTCCTCCTCCTCCTCGTCCTCGTCCTCCTCCTCCTCCTCCATCTCCTCCATCTCCTCCATCCCCTCCTCCTCCTCCTCCTCCTCCTCCTCCTCCTCCTCCTCCTCCTCCTCCTCCTCCTCCTCCTCCTCCTCCTCCTCCTCCTCCTCGTCGGGTCGCCTACGGCCCCGGGGGAAACCGTGTAAATACAGTGGGGGCGCGCAACAAGAAACCATATTCTTTTCGTCATGGTGCGGTTTCCAGCTCACGCTGCTCGCGGCCAGAATCTACCTCGTATCAGTGCTTGGGTTCGTGGTGCAGCTTCTGCCCGCCCCGCCGGAGTGGCCCGCGGTCGAGCGCCAGGCGGTCGCCCGTTTGTTTCCGGGCCCGAGAGGGTGGATCTCACCATCCATCTTGCGAGACCCGAGTCTGATGGGGTTCTCCGGCAGCATTCCAGACCTCGCGATGCTTTCGCTTGCAGCCCGCTTCCGCGTGGCCCGGTACGAAGCGGGGAACGAGGGTGGCCTCCAGACGGCGCGTCGGGCCCGCGAGCCACGAGGGGCCATGGCAGATTCCGACTTCGTCCTCCGGCGGGCGACCTGGCATGGCTGGTTCAACAGCGCGATGATTTTGCACTTGGAAGACGCCGTGTCGCGCTACGAGTGTCTGGGTTGGACCGCCTCCCGGGTGCGGGAGCGCATCGAGGGCGTCGCCGACGCGGCGCTCGACGACGCCGCGCGCGCCACCAAGCGCCGCAAGATGTGGCAGCGGACCTGTTTGTCCATCCTGCAAGAGAAGGCGACGGAGGCTTCTGAGCGCTTCTGGCGCCGACGGCTGGAGCGCTGGCACCTCGGCTTTTTTGACGCCCGCCAGGCGCGCGCCGCGGGCACAGCAGGTCATGTCCGCACTTCGGACGGCCGCCCCGCCGCGGGTCACAGCCGCTCTCCTGCGAACATGGTTTAATGGATGGTGTACGGGCCAGCGCTTCCAGCAGCGCGGCTCCCGATGTGTCTTCGGATGTGTTCACGAGGACTCCATTGAGCATTTTGCAACATGCCCAGTGGTGCGGGACTTCGCGTGGCGGAGCTTCGCCATCTGTCGCTCCACGGCTCCTCTATCTGATTTTTCTCCTCCCCGCCTCCTCGCCAGCGAGCCTGCCCGCTGGCTGCGCTCTGCGCTCGGCCATTCGCACTGCGGCGGTGTACTTGGCGCACTGCCAGGCGAGACGCGCGGCGGCGCCCGGCACGCCCATCGCACCCACGCTTGGGCAGACCGCTTTGGAGCTCGTCCGCGGGCACCAGGCCGCGACAGCCGTCGCGCAAGCCCACGCGGGCACGCGCTCCCAGCCACGCCGCTGGAGGCTGTCCTGACTTTATCGGGGCCGTTTGGGCCACAGGAGGCCGCCCCCTCCTCCCCTCCTCCCTCCTCCTCCTCCTCCTCCTCCTCCTCCTCCTCCTCCTCCTCCTCATTCTCCTCCTCCCGATCCTTTGTCAGGTTGTGTTTTTTGTGCGTGACAGGAGGCTTGGACCAAAGGCTCGCGGCGTTTACGCCTCCAGTGAGTTGCATCGCAGTTGAGGCTTTCACGCTTGTGGCAGCATGGGTAGGTTAGTTCCTGTGGTAGAGGTCCCGCAGGCCACCCCGCAGCCGCGAGGGATCCAAGGTCCCAGGTGGCCGGAAATCGGTTCCCGCCACCCGGCCTGAATTCCCGCCGGTGCTTACGAGTATGGGCATATTCTATTGTCCCGGCCGCGTGGCCGATAGCGTCTCTGCCTGGGCTGGCTTGGAGCGGAAACACGGTTCAATGTTGTACCGCATCCGCCTGGGATGTCCTTCCCCCCTCGTCTCTTTCCTCCCGCTCTCGCCTCCTGGAGGCGGAGCTCCGCCTAGCCCCTCGGGGTGGGCCGGCTCTTCTCCTCCTCTGCCTGTCTCCTCCTCGCTCCCCCTGCGCATGTCGTCTCATTCGGCCCGGGACGGTGCCCGTTTGCACGTCGTTCTGCAGGAATGCTCTTCCCCCCCTCCGCCTTCTTCCGCTCGCTCCTCGGATCGTGTACTGGTTAATCCGGCCGTGCATGGCCGCGGTGCTTGCCGATCCGGCAGCGCACCGAGTCCGTCACATGAATTCCGCTGCTCGCTTCTGTCCTGGCCGCGTGGCCGATAGGATCATGGGCGTGCCGGCCCATCCGCTATCGCACGGCGGTTGGTGTTGTTTGGCGCGGCGGCGGAAAAAGGGGCGCGTCTTGGCGCAATCGTGTTGAGTCTGCTTGCCTCCTCTCCTCTCCTCTCCTCTCCTCTCCTCTCCTCTCCTCTCCTCTCCTCTCCTCTCCTCTCCTCTCCTCTCCTCTCCTCTCCTCCCATCTCCTCTCCTCTCCTCTCCTCTCTTGCCGTTGCCGCCGCTGCCGCTTATCTCAGCCGTCTGCCATCATGATAGCTTGTTGGAATCGCTTCGGCTGGAGCTGCACTCGCTTGGGATTTCCGAGTGTTTTGGCTTGTCCACTCTCCTCCCCCTCCCTCCTGTCCTTTTCGTTCTCTCCTCCTCGTTTTTGTCGGGATTTAAAGTTCGCGTGGCCATTCACGTAGCGTGGCCTCTCATAGTTCTGTAATTGTGCAAGTTTGCCATTGTCCAAATTCTCCAGTTGCGCGCAACGGTTCGCCTATGGCAGGCTGGCCTGACCGCTGCTCCAGGTGTACCGGATAGGGCTGGGATGATGTAAAATACTTCGTAGTGGCGGTCAGTGAGACATGCAACGCCTCTCAAATTCAACCTTTTTTAATCCCGCCAGTGCTTAAGATAACAAGCTTGGTGTTGTCTCTGCATCGGGAGTTCTGAAACCTCTGAATGGTGTCGGCGCTTGAACAAAAATTATTTTCGTCGGGGTACTCAGGGTTTCTTCGCTCCGCGCGCTGCGCGGTGGCTTTTCGCAGCCGTTGAAGCAGCTGCTGCGTTCAGGGTGTTCTGGGTTTCCCCTTGGGTGCACCTCGCGCGCGGGTTTTCAGGTTTGGGTTTCCTGCACGGGTTTCTTGTGGCCGCGCCCGTGCTGAGTCGGACACCCCCGCTGGGGTGCACTTGCCAGCAGGCTTCCCTCGGCTTCTGAGCCCCCGCCGACGCTGCGGGAATCCTATCTGGAGGGCGCGGGGTCTCCGGCGGCGGCTGCCCGGAAAGGGTGCTTTAAGGCCACCCGCGGGGGCGCGAAAACGATGGCGCCGCGGCGGCTCCTCTCCGAGGGGGCCCGCAGTCTCGAGGCGCTGGGCAGGGGCTGGGCGAAGCCGCTCGCGGCGGCGGCGGCCCTGCCGGGCGGGGGAGGTCGAGGAGGTGCCCCACGGCGCCCACCGATCATGCGGGAGCACGTTCAGGACCCCGGCCTCGCCCTCCAGAGGTGTCCGGGTCTGCGGAGCTCGCGTGTCGGGGGTGCGGGCGGCACGGGGAGTACGGTGGGGGCACGCGCCAAGAAACCAGCTCGATTTTGCCAGGGTGCCCTGGGTTTCTTGGATTCTGATGGGCTCCCAGTCAGATCTTGACGCCTTTCGATCGACATATGTGGATGTGCACGGAAGAAATTGCGTATTTCAGGGTTGGGTTTCTTGCGGAGGCTTCTTGTGGCCGAGCCCCCACTGTAGAGGGGGAGGGGCGGGTGGCGGCAGAGAGGGCGAGGGAGGATGCCGGGAGGCGCAGGCACGGGCCAGGCAGGGCGCGCGGATCTGCGACGGGCCCCGTGTCCGTGCGGAGCCGGCGCGCTCCGCGGCCGGATCGGACAGCCCCGGCGCCATGCCTCGGGGGGTGCTCTTCGATCCGTGGCTTTGGCGCCCGCGCGCCAGGTCCACGGATCCTTACTCCCCATGTCAGCGTGAGCCGTGCGCCCGAGGGGATGGGGATGGGGAGGGGGGGCAGAGTGGAGTGGAGGGGAGGGGAGGGGAGGGGGGGGGGAGGGGAGGGGATTTTTTGACATCCACAACCAAGGGCCCCACACTGCGGGGCGGCCACGACACTGTCGCACGGGGCCCTGGACGGCGCATTGGCCGCCCAAGGACCCCACGGCGCCCCGCACACGCGGCCGAGCGGAACGGGGAAAACGCAAGCCGCGGCAGTCGGGCTGCTGAGGACCTCCAGCGGTGCGCTCAGCAAACCCGACCGCCGCGGCAACGACGACGACGCGACGGAGGAACGACACGATGCGACGGAGAGGACGGACCGCCCGGCACGACCCCCGGGACGGGAAGCCCAGGGAGGGGCACCTGGCCCGAACGGGGGACCTGCTCGCGAGGCGACCCCAAGGGGAAAGGGACCGCGCTTCTGGCGGCCGTCCCCAGGAGCGGGGGCTCGTCGCCCCAGCGGCCCAGCGCTCCCCGCCTGCGCCAGGGGGCTGAGCAGCCCGACCCCACTCCTCGGGGCCCCCCTGGGGCAGGGGAGGGGAGGGGAGGGGAGTGGAGTGGATAGGGGGCCACATGCGAACCCTACCCCTACCCCCCACGATTTCTGAGGGGGAGGGTGGGGTTCACTTCGTTCCGGAGCTCCGGAGCGAAGTGAACCCTACCATCCCCCATAGAAATCGTGGGGGGTAGGGGTAGGGTTCGCATGTGGCCCCCTAGGAGTGGAGGGGAGGGGAGGGGAGTGGAGGGGGGTATGGAAAAGATGGACGGGGGTGATGGTTGCCGACGCAGACGTGTGCACAGAATGCTTGGCATTCTTGACCTGATCTGGCGTCGGCTGTTTGAATCAGCAGATTTGCCTGATGCTTGCGTATGTGCGTAGCGCTTAGTAGTTGTGGGTGGTTGACGGGCGTCTTTCGCCATGGATCGTGGGCAATAGCCTTCTCAGCGATTCAGAGTATATGCGGGCTTGGGAATCGCAGTTCGCTTCCTTGTGGTCCGTCCTGGCCATGTCTAGGTGGAGTGCATTGTGGAATAGGTGACTCCTTCTATGAGTTAACATTATCTGCATTCAATCCCCCTGCATTTGCTGTGGCTGCGCATGCTCTGACGCTGTTTTCCTTCGTCGCGCGTTTTTTTTTGTGCGGAGCCGCGACACCTCGTGCGGCAGTCTTAGTGTGTCTCGGAAGTTGTTGCCAGAAAAGGAGCAGGCTGAGGAGGACCCGTGTAAACCCAAGGCGCATCAGCGATGCTGCAGTAACACTTTCCTCCAAGTTCCCTCTCCATAGGTCCCTACAAGATTTCTTCCATTCCATTGCGGGAAATGCCCCACGGAACGACAACCGTCTGAGATTCTTCCATCGTGCCGAAACAGAAGTCTTGGGACTTCAACGCCTTGAGTCAGCACGACTGTAACGTCCTGACGATCCTAAATCGTACCAGAACACAATGTGTAGGACTTCACCCACTTAACGGCAACCGTCTGAGATTCCTTAAGTGTGCCGAAACATAGATCCTGGGACAGCGCCGCGACTCAGCACGACCGTAACGTCCTGGCGATCTCAAATCGTGCCAGGACGCCGCCTGTGGGACCTCAACGCCGCGAATCAGCACGACCGTAACGTCCTGACGATCTTAGATCGTGCCAGGACACCGCCTGTGGGACCCCAACGACGCGAGTCCACACGGCTGTCACGTCCCGACGAGCTTAGACCGTGCCAGAGCATCATCTGTGGGACCTCAACGCCGCGAATCCACGTGACTGTTGCGCGTCGGGACAGGCCTCAACAGTGCCACAGCAGCACCTCGGGAGGGGAAAAAACACTCAGACACAATTCATCGTCGACTCCCAGGAAGAGATGGGAAGATAGTGGACGTGGGGGGAGAAGACGGAGACCCAGAAGATATGGGAAACTGTGGGGAATCCTCGGATTTGTGTGTATGTGTTGCGAAGGCCTTACGGCCGGTGCCGCCGACCCCTGTTCGCTAGGACGAGGAGGAGGAGGACGAGGAGGAGGAGGAGGAGGAGGAGGAGGAGGAGGCGGAGGAGGAGGAGGAGGAGGAGGAGGAGGAGGAGGAGGAGGAGGAGGAGGAGGAGAGGATGGGAGAGGAGGAGGAGAGGGAAGGAGGAGGAGGGAGGAGGAGGGAGGAGGAGAGGAGGAGGAGGAGGAGGAGGAGGAGGAGGAGGGAGGAGGGGGAGGAGGAGGGAGGAGGAGGGAGGAGGAGGGAGGAGGAGGAAAGGAGGAAGGAGGAGGGAGGAGGAGAGGGAGGAGGGGGGAGGAGGAGGAGGGAGGAGGAGGAGGAGGAGGAGGAGGAGGAGGAGGAGGAGGAGGGAGGAGGAGGGAGGAGGAGGAGGGAGGAGGAGGAGGAGGAGGAGGGAGGAGGAGGAGGAGGGAGGAGGAGGAGGGAGGAGGCCCTCGGTCTGCCCTTGGGCCCCTCTGTTCTGCCCTCCCGCCCCGTGGGCTGCCGCCGCGCGGCGGGAGCGCCCCGGGCTCCCTGAGAGGGGACTTTGCCCTGCGCCCCCTCTATAGAGGACGAGGAGGGAGGGGAGGAGGGAGGAGGAGGAGGTAGGAGGAGGGAGGAGGGAGGGAGGAGGGAGGAGGAGGCGGGGGAGGAGGAGGAGGGAGGAGGGAGGAGGGGAGGGAGGAGGAGGAGGGAGGAGGGAGGAGGATAGGAGGGAGGAGGAGGGAGGGAGGAGGAGGGAGGGGAGGAGGGGGAGGAGGGAGGGAGGAGGGGGAGAGGAGGAGGGAGGAGTGGGGAGGAGGAGGGAGGAGGGAGGAGGAGGGAGGAGGAGGGAGGAGGCTCCCTGAGAGGGGACTTTTGCCCTGCGCCCCCTCTATAGGGTTGTGGTGCTCCAGCCTGCTTTGTAGCCTGGAACACCAGAAGGAACTTCGAGCACCAGGAACAGGTACCACGAGAGGGAGGGGACTTTTGCCCTGCGCCTCCTCTATAGGGTTGTGGTGCTCCAGCCTACTTTGTAGCCTGGATCACCAGAAGGAACTTCGAGCACCAGGAACAAGTACTACGAGAGGGAGGGGGCCTGCCCTGCGCCTCCTCTATAGGGTTGTGGTGCTCCAGCCTACTTTTGTAGCCTGGATCACCAGAAGGAACTTCGAGCACCAGAAGCAAGTACCACGAGAGGGAGGGGGCTTGCTCTGCGCCTCCTCTATAGGTTTGTGGTGTTCCAGCCAACGTTGTAGCCTGGATCACCAGAAGGAACTTCGAGCACCAGGAACACGTACCGAAACAGGGCCTGCTTTATAGCCTACTTTGTAGCCTGGATCACCAGAAAGAACTTCGAGCACCAGAAGCAAGTGCCACGAGAGGGAGGGGACTTTTGCCCTGCGGCTCCTCTATAGGGTTGTGGTGCTCCAGCCTACTTTGTAGCCTGGATCACCAGAAGGAACTTCGAGCACCAGGAACAAGTACCACGAGAGGGAGGGGACCTGCCCTGCGCCTCCTCTATAGGGTTGTGATGCTCCAGCCTACTTTGTAGCCTGGATCACCAGAAGGAACTTCGAGCACCAGGAACAAGTACCGAAACAGGGCCTGCTTTATAGCCTGCTTTATAGCCTTGATCACCAGAAGGAATTTCGAGCACCAGGAACAAGTACCGACACAGGGCCTGCTTTATAGCCTGCTTTATAGACTGGATCACCAGAAGGAACTTCGAGCACCAGGAACAAGTACCGAAGCAGGGCCCAGGGTTTTCACGGGTCGGGCACTGGGAGACGCTCTTCTGGCACTGTTTCGACACCGTTTCGACACTCGTTCGACACTTTGCCGGGTGCTCGAAATTCTTTCTGGGATGTGGTCCTGAAGTACGATGTGAGCAACATACCTCTAGGGGGCGGACGAGCAAAAGGCAGGCTCCCGAATCGTCCGCACAGGAGGTGGGCCGACGATCTTTGCGTCAATCGCGAGGGCATGATGCGAGGCATGACGATTTGTTTATTCTGCCTTTCTCGGCTGAGCAGTGGTCGATGCTTGACGACGGCTTCCTCGACGTCCTACTGTGAGCGCTACGGCGCTGCGCGCCCATCCCCGTAGTCGGGACAGCTCTGCTGAGACGGCGCCCTCCTCCTCTCTTGGGGGCTAGCATTAAGTCGGGCCTCCTGTCCCTCTACAGGGGGAATGTTCACAAATAGTGAAAAATAGTCTGGGGACGATTTTTTTGGCCATTTGGAACTATGTAGTGGCCTCCGGCCAGTGCCGCCGATCCGGGTGCTACCGATTCTGCTTGCAACGGATGACCTTGTCTGTTTAAACGTAGAACAATCACTCGAGAAATTCTCATAAGATAGAGATGTCGAACTCGCTTGGGCAACCTTCGGATATTCGAAAGTGACGGTCTCGCGTGAACAGCCAAATTCATGGGATGTTGACGTAGCTGATGTATGACACCTTTGTGGGCGCTCTTGGGTTTCTCGGGGGGCTTTTTGGAGGCATCCTGGAGGCTTCTCGGGGGCGCGCTGGAGGAAGTTTTTTAATCTCTTGGGGGCCTTTGGGGGGCCTCCTTGGGGCTTCTTGGGCCGTCTTGGGCCCTTTTTGGATCGTCTTGGAGCCCTCTTCGGGCGTGAATGGCGTCAGCCATGCGTCGGCCCTCCCTCCCCTCTTCGTCTCCCGAGCCTGAATGGCGTCAGCCATGGCGTCACCCCCCCGCCCCCCCCCCCGACAGAGTCAAGCTTGAGCGAGCACCCCCCCTCTCCCTCCCGGGCTTGAATGGCGTCAGCCATGGCGTCAGCCCTCCCCCCTCTCCCCCCCGACTCCCCCCTCCCGGGCCCGAATGGCGTCAGCCATGGCGTCACCCCCTCCCCCCCCCTCCCGCCTCATGGGCCTGAATGGCGTCAGCTATGGCGTCAGCCCCCTCCCTCCCCGACAGAGCGAAGCTTGAGCGAGCTCCCCCCACCTCCCCCTCCCAGGTCTGAATGGCGTCAGCCATGGCGTCCCCCCCCCCCCCGACTTCTCCTGGCTTGAATGTCCCCCCCCCCCCCCCCCCTCCCGGGCCTGATGGCGTCAGTTCATGCGTAGGCCCCCTCCCCCCCGGACAGAGCGAAGCTTGGGCGAGCTCCGCCCCCCCTCCCTCCTCCCCGACCTGAATAGCGTCAGCCATGGCGTCAGCCCCCCCCCCCCCGACTCCCTCCTCCGGGCCTGAATGGCGTCAGCCATGGCGTCTCCCCCCGGCTCCCCCCCTCCCTCCCGGGCCTGAATGGCGTCAGCCATGGCGTCAGCCCCCCCCCCCCCCCGACAGAGCGAAGCTTGAGCGAGCTCTCCGCCCCCCTCCCCCTTCCCGGGCCTGAATGGCGTGAGCTCCCCTCCCCCCTCCGCCCTTCCCGGGCCTGAAGGGCGTCAGTCATGGCGTCAGACCCGCCCCTCCGACTCCCTTCTCCCGAGCCTGAATGGCGTCAGCCATGGTGTCCCCCCCCCACCCTCCTCCCTCCCAGGCCTGAATGGCGTCACCCGGGCCTGAATGGCGTCAGCCATGGCGTCAGCCCCTCCCCCCCCCTCCCTCCCTCCTCCTGGGCCTGAATGGCGTCAGCTATGGCGTCAGCCTTCCCCCGCCGACAGAGCGAAGCTTGAGCGAGCTCCCCCCCCTCCCCCCTCCCGGGTCTGAATGGCGTCAGTCATGGCGTCCCCCCCCCTCCCTCTGGGGCTTGAATTGCGTCAACTGTGGCGTCCCCCCCTCCCGCTCGACAGAGCGAAGCTTGAGCGAGCTCTTCGCCCCTCTCCCCCTTCCCGGGCCTGAATGGCGTCAGCCATGGCGTCAGCCCCCCCCCTCCCCGACAGAGCGAAGCTTGAGCGAGCTCAAGCCCACGCTCTCAGAAACTCACACGCGGGATCGGCGGACTTTTCCCTCAACAATCCCCCTATAGGGGGACAGGCCCGACTTATGTCTAGGGGGCCAGCGCGGGTTGCGAAAAAGGTACGGTCGTAGAGTTCAGCGAGACATCCAGGGATATCATTCGGGGAACGAGAAGTGGCATAAAAACATAAGCGAAACATGACGAAAAGTGACCAGGGGAACGAAAAAGGACTTGCCCTGTACCTCTCTGTGGGGGCCAGCACGGGCTGCGAAAAAGGTACCCTGGATTGCTTAACAATCGCCCCTCCCCCCCCCCCTTGGAGTGCCCAGGGGGGGGGGGTTGACCGCGGCGCGCCTGGGGCGGTGCTGTGGGGGGCTCTGGGGTTCGTTTCCTTCCCCGCTGGGACGCGGGGGTGGTGCGGGGTGGGTGGGTGGCCGCGCCGCGTTTTCACGTTTGTCCCCCCCGGCTGATTAATAAGAAGTTCGGAGTATGGTCGTAGAGTTCAACGAGACATTCAGAGGCATCACCGTTTCGAAAAAAGTGCTTAGTCCGACACCTGTTTCGTCATTCCGGACTGAAGCTCTGGCGCGAGAGGAGAGCGCACTGCTTGTCTCACGAAGGTGTGCCTCGCTGTCAAGGTCAACTTGGGATTCTCACTCCTGCACTATCTGTAGTCCGCCGAAGCTGTGCGTGTCCTAGGCTCGGGGGGAAGAAACCAAAAGCCTAGTCTTAAATCGGGCCTGTCCCTCTACAGGGGGAGTGTTCAAACATAGTTGAAACATAGTCGGGGGACTAGTTTTCACAATTTTTAAAGAATTTTTTTTTTTTTTTTTTTTTTATTTTTCGTCCAACGTCGGCCTGTAGGGGGACAGGCCCGACTTAAGCCCAGTCCGAGCGCCTGCTGCACACCGCCTGCGCCGCTGGTCGTGGACTCCGAGAGGATGTCTCGCGGCAGCCGCCCTCCCCCCGTGCAGCTGCGAGGCACGGCCGGGTTTTTGTTCAAGGCATCTGAGTTTGAGCGCAGGAGGAGGAGGAGGAGGGAGGAGGAGGAGGAGGAGGAGGAGGAGGAGGAGGAGGAGGAGGAGGAGGAGGAGGAGGAGCCCCACGCGAACAGCCAACGTTGAAAAGGATCGGTCCGTGTTGTCACCGCTGTCTGCTGCACGCTCTTCAGGCGAGAGCGCGCGGCGCCAGCGCGAGGGCCGCACGCAGGAAGACGAGTCGCGCGAGAGCCACGCGCAGGAAAAAGGAACCGCCCTCCATGCTTGGGAAACCGTGACAAACGTTGAAGACGGATGTGTGCGGCGTTGAGGCGAGAACCGCATTTTGAAAACCACTCGCCGTCCATCGTTGAGCATGTCGCGGAGTTCAAGCTTCAGGATCATAAACGGTGAGGCAGCCTCAGTCGAAGCGCCCGGCCCGCTCTGCCGACACGTCTGGCGGTGCGACAAGAGGAGTTGTTTCAAAGGGGCAAGTGATGGCGGAGGAGGAGCAGGAAGAGGAGAAGGAGGAGGGGGAGGAGAAGGAGGAAGAGGAGGAGGAGCAGGAGGAGGAAAAGGATGATGATGATGATGATGATGATGATGATGATGATGATGATGATGATGATGATGATGATGATGATGATGATGATGATGATGATGATGATGATGCTGATGATGATGATGATGATGATGATGATGATGATGATGATGATGCTGATGATGATGATGATGATGATGATGATGATGTGATGATGATGATGATGATGATGATGATGATGCTGATGATGATGATGATGATGATGATGATGATGATGATGGATGATGATGATGATGTGATGTGATGATGGTGATGATGATGATGATGATTGATGATGATGATGATGATGATGATGACGACGATGATGATGATGATGATGATGATGATGATGATGATGATGATGATGATGATGATGGTGGTGGTGGTGGTGGTGGTGGTGGTGGTGGTGGTGGTGGTGATGATGATGATGATGATGATGATGATGATGATGATGAGAGAGGAGGAGGAGGAGGAGGGCGAGGAGGAGGAGGAGGAGGAGGAGAGGAGGAGGAGGAGGAGGAGGAGGAGGGAGGAGGAGGAGGGAGGAGGAGGAGGAGGAGGAGGAGGAGGAGGAGGAGGAGGAGGAGGAGGAGGAGGAGGAGGAGGAGGGGGAGGAGGGGTACATGAGGGACTGGAGGTGCAGTTCGGGAAACACAGCAAGCAGGGATAGCAAGGCGAGCTGGAGGGAGCAGGCCGCATGATGAAGAGCAGCACGTCGACAAGTAGGCGCGGCGCCCGCGTGCTTCTCCTCGCAGCACGCAGGAACCACTATTCTGGGGAATTCGACCTCCTTGCGTGGCACAAGGACGAAGCGACACTGCTGCAGGAGGCAGCGAAGGCAGGCGTTCAGAAGGGTGTGGATGCGGTCTCCACGGCCGAGGAGACCGTGAGCGACAACATTCCGCCTTGGATGCAATCGAGATCGAAGGCGGGCTTGTCGCTGTCTCTTTCCGCCTGTGGTGTGGCGAGGCGCGTCGAAACCGAGTCGGCAGTGGGTCCATGGCCATCCGTCTTTCCTCCATTGCCCTCTTCCTCCCTCATCCCTTCCTCCTACCTCCCTCCCCCCTCCACCCTTCACCTCCTCGTTCCTTCGTGTTGAGGCCGCGATGGGGCGCGACCACCCCAGGGAAGCGGGCAGCGGCTTTCCCTCCCCTCCGTCCTGATCGGGTGCTGTCGGCAGTGGCGCAGGTGGCGGAGTCTCAGACTCCAAGCGCCACCCGTCCAGACAAGTGGTGGACGAAACAGGCCTCGCGCCAAGCCGCTCGCGGCGCACATGCACACACACACACACCTCCTCCTCCTCCTCCTCCTCCTCCTCCTCCTCCTATGAAGGAAGGTGTGGGTTGCCCCTAAGAACCACCTCGAACGTGTACTCCAGACCTTCCTGAGTGGGGACGAGATGGAGTGAAAGTACATGGTGTGCATGAGTTGAATGATCCTCAGCGGTCGACAGTACTTCCTGAGGATCGACGAGATGGTGTGAAATTTCATGGTGTGTGTAATGAATTGAATGATACTCGACGTCAGACTACTGCGACGTCTACGGACGATGGGGTGCAGCAGCAGCATGTACTTGAGCAGCGTGTTTCGTGGGATACTTCTCCGCCGTCGGCGGCTTCATGGTGTCCAAGGGTTTCTGCACTTGAGGCCCCCGTGCTTGTTGCCGCCGAGGCTGCCTTTTCTCCTCCTCCTCCTCCTCCTCTTTCGCCGTCCGGGCCTCGTCGCCGTCAGTTGTCGGTTGATCTACCTCCGCAGCGTAAGCGGCCTCGTAGGGATAGTGACACTGTCAGAGTTTTCCGAGATGCTGGTTTCGGTTCTAGTTTAGCGGGGTCCGCGGCCCGTCTCCTGGGGTTTACAAGCTGAGTCTGGTGAAACTCGGGGGCTTAAAAGCTCTGTGAGTTGTGGGCGGGCTGGAGGCCCGAAATTCGCGGCAGTTATGTCGGCCCTAGGGCAATTCGCGAGTGTGGATGTCACTCCTTTGGCCCCCAGAGGTGTCTGTCTGTGTCTGTGTCCTCCTCCTCCTTCTCCTCCTCCTCCTCCTCCTCCCCCTCCTCCTCCTCCCCCATCCTCCTCCCCCTCCCCCTCCTCCTCCATGCCCCCTCCTCCCTCCAAGAGTGGCCCGGAACGTGTTCAAGACGGCCCGAGGTCCTCCCAAGAAGGCCCACATATTCATGTCACACGGCGTCAAGACACTGCCTACACGTCCCCAGGGCAGACCCCAGCGACCCCAAGACGCCGCAGCGGCGCCCAAGAGGCCCCTGGAAGACCACCCTTTGTGGTCCCGAAGATTCAGCCAGGAGGCAGCGCGACGCACAAGCTGACGAATACACTTGCACATGCACGCAAGGGTGACCACTCAGGAGGAAGAACTATCCTGGCAAAGCAACCTAACAGCGATGTGTATAAGCATATTTGGAAACTTTCCCCTTAATATTCAGGTGAGAACCCAGTTGTAGAATTCTGCTGTTCTCGCAGTCGCAGTCGCATTCGCAATGACAGTCGCAGTGGCAACGGCCTTAGGATCCAACGGAATCCCAAGGATTCCTATGTATTCCTAAGGCATCCTCAGGCATCCTTAGGAATACATAGGAATCCTTAGGAAGCCATAGGAATCCTCAGGAATCCTGATTCCCCGGGATTCCTATGGATTCTTAAGGATTCCTGAGGAATCCTAAGGATTCCTAAGGATTCGTGAGGATGCTTAACCATGCCTACGGATTCCTGAGGATGCCTACGGATTCCCAAGAATTCCCAAGGATTCCTAAGGATTCCTATGGATTCCTACGGATGCCTCAGCCTGCCTCAGTTTCAGCTTCAGCCTCAGCCTGTATCGGCCTCAGCCTGCCTCAGCCTCAGCCTGGCTCGGCCTCAGCCTCAGCCTGCCTCAGCCTCAGCCTCAGCCTCAGCCTGCGTCGGCCTCAGCCTGCGTCAGCCTCAGCCTCAGCCTGCCTCAGCCTCAGCCTGCCTCAGCCTCAGCCTCAGCCTCAGCCTCAGCCTGCCTCGGCTTGCCTCAGCCTCAGCCTCAGCCTGCCTCGGCCTCAACCTGCCTCGGCCTCAGCCTGCCTCAGCCTCCCCTCCTCCCCCCCCCCCCTCCCCCCCCCCCATTCAGCCTCACCTTGTCTCAGCTTCGGCCTGCCTCGGCCTCATCTCAGCCTCAGCCTCAGTCTCAGCCTCAGCCTGTCTCGGCCTGAGCCTGCCTCGGCCTCAGCCTCGGCCTCAGCCTGCCTGCAGCCTCAGCCTGTCTCAGCCTCAGCCTGCTCAGCATCAGCCTCAGCCTCAGCCTCAGCCTGCCTCGGCTTGCCTCGGCCTCAGCCTCAGCCTGCCTCGGCCTCAGCCTCAGCCTCAGCCTGCCTCAGCCTCAGCCTCGGCCTGCCTCAGCCTCAGCCTGCATCAGCCTCAGCCTCAGCCTGCCTCAGCCGCAGCTTGCCTCAGCCTCAGCCACAGCCTCGGCCTCAGCCTCAACCTGCCTCAGCTTCAGCCTCAGCCTCAGCCTGCCTCGGTTTGCCTCAGCCTCAGTCTCAGCCTGCCTCGGCCTCAGCCTCAGCCTCAGCCTGCCTCAGCCTCAGGGTCAGCCTCTCAGCCTCAGCCTGCATCGGCCTCAGCCTCAGCCTCAGCCTGCATCAGCCTCAGTCTCAGCCTGCCTCAGCCTCAGCCTGCCTCAGTCTCAGCCTCAGCCTCAGCCTGCCTCGGCCTCAGCCTGCGTTAGCCTCAGCCTCAGCCTGTCTCAGCCTCAGCCTGCCTCAGCCTGCCTCAGCCTCAGCCTCCGCCTGCCTCTGCGTGCCTCAGCCTCAGCCTCAGCCTGCCTCGGCCTCAGCCTGCCTCGGCCTCAGCCTGCCTCAGCTCGGGCATTCAAAAGATGGCACGGGACTTGTGTTTTGGGAACACGAAGATCACGAAGTGGCCCACAGTTGGCTCCGGGCAATCAAGCTATGGTACAGGAGTGGTGTTCTGGGAACACGAAGAGCACGAAGTGGCCTACAGTTGGCTCCAGGCATTCAAAATGTGGCCTGGGAATGATGTTCTGGGAACGCGAAGATCACGAAGTGCCCTACAGTTGGCTCCAGGCATTCAAAGTCTGGGTTGGGAATGGTGTTCTGGGAGCACGAAGAACACGAAGTGGCCTACAGTTGGCTCCGGGCATGCTCCCCGCCCACCGCATGTCCATTCCGGCACACCCTTCACACGTGTCGTAGCCCCAGTGGCAAAGTTCCATTCCGGCACACCCTTCACACATTTCGTGGCCCCAGTGGCAAAGTTCGCATGCGGCTCCTCGCCCACCCCATGTCCATTCCGGCACACCCTTCACACGTTTCGTGGTCCCAATGGCAAAGTTCGCATGCGGCTCCCCGCCCGCCGCATGTCCATTCCGGCACACCCTTCACACGTTTCGTGGCCACAGTGGCAAAGTTCGCATGCGGCTCCCCCTTGCCCACCGCATGTCCATTCCGGCACACTCTTCACACGCTTCGTGGCCCCAGTGGCAAAGTTCGCATGCGGCTCCCCGCCCACCGCATATCCATTCCAGCACACCCTTCACACATTTCGTGGCCCCAGTGGCAAAGTTCACATGCGGCTCCCCGCCCACCGCATGTCCATTCCGGCACACCCTTCACACCCTTCGTGGCCCCATAGGAAGCTCCTCCGAGGGCCCCAGTGGCAAAGTTCACATGCGGCTCCCCGCCCACCGCATGTCCATTCCGGCACACTCTTCACACGCTTCGTGGCCCCAGTGGCAAAGTTCGCATGCGGCTCCCCGCCCACCGCATGTCCATTCCAGCACACCCTTCACACATTTCGTGGCCCCAGTGGCAAAGTTCGCATGCGGCTCCCCGCCCGCCGCATGTCCATTCCGGCACACCCTTCACACGTTTCGTGGCCACAGTGGCAAAGTTCGCATGCGGCTCCCCGCCCACCGCATGGCCAGTCCGGCACACCCTTCACTCGTTCTGTGGCCCCATAGGAAACTCTTCCAAAGGCCCCAGTGGCAAAGTTCGCATGCGGCTCCCCGCCCACCGCATGTCCATTCCCGCAACCCTTCACACGTTTCGTGGCCCCAAGGAAGCTCCTCCGAAGGCCCGCCCACCGCATGTCTATTCCGGCACACCATTCACACGTTTCGTGGCCCCAATGGCAAAGTTCGCGTGCGGCTCCCCGCCCACCGCATGTCCATTCCGGCACACCCTTCACACGTTTCGTGGCCCCAGTGGCAAAGTTCGCGTGCGGCTCCCCGCCCACCGCATGTCCATTCCCGCACACCCTTCACACGTTTCGTGGCCCCAGTGGCAAAGTTCACATGCGGCTCCCCGCCCGCCGCATATCCATTCCGGCACACCCTTCACACGTTTCGTGGCCCCAGTGGCAAAGTTCGCATGCGGCTCCCCGCCCACCGCATGTCCATTCCGGCGCACTCTTCACACGTTTCATGGCCCCATAGGAAGCTCCTCCCCAAGGCCCCAGTGGCAAAGTTCGCATGCGGCTCCCCGCCCACCGCGTGTCCATTCCGGCACACCCTTCACACGCTTCGTGGTCCCAGCGGCAAAGTTCGCATGCGGCTCCCCGCCCACCGCATGTTCATGTCGGCACACCCCTTCCACATTTCGTGGCCCCAAAGGAAGCTCCTCCGAAGGCTCCAGTGGCAAAGTTCGCATGCGGCTCCCCGCCCACCGCACGTCCATGTCGGCACACCCCTCACGCGTTTCGTGGCCCCACAGGGGGCTCCACCGAAGGCCCCAGTGGCAAAGTCTGCATGCGGCTCCCCGCCCACCGCACGTCCATGTCGGCACACACCCCACGCGCTTCGTGGCCCCATAAGGGGGTGCCCAGAGCCGCGGTCACCGGGGCGCATGGGCAAAGGGGAGAGACATACGAGAGTCATGATGTTCCAACCTGCTTTAACCACCAGAAAGAGCCAGGAGGGGAAAAACACAC